GCCCCTGAGTGGTGGACATAGTGAACTAAGAGAGATGTATCTTCTGACAGGGAAATACAGGATGTAAGGTAATTGTATACGAATACAAATCTGTACAAGCTGAATGCAATGTGCTATTATATTTCTATAGGATGATAGAACGAGTTGGTGTGGAATGCAAAAACAAACAAATTGAACGGAACTATTAATCTCTAACGAACAAAACAAAGTTTAACAAGGACCGTTGAAACTATTTTCCTGAAACGTATGAATCTCCAATGTGAAGAGAACACATTGAAGTTTTACAAGTTTATAGAGAAATAAAATCAAATTAACTTGGTATTCAAAATTATTGCTAGAATTTCAAAGTTATGAGTGCTGACGATACGTATATGAAGAGGTTTTTTTCCTCCGTCTAAGAGGACATACATACATACTATAAGCTTGACGCAATGAGAAAATATTTAATAAATTAGGAAACTTTCCTAAACTATTTTAGAAAATCTAAATAAACAAATTTATTCTAGAAAAAAAGAATACCTAACTAATTTCTAACTTTTTTTGCATATACATTTTAAATATATGCGGTTTAAAAAATTTTTAAATTAATTAGGTCTTACTTACAGAATTTAATTAATAGTTTATTTATTTTTATTTAATAATTTAATTAATTTTTACTTACAGAAAAAATTCGAAATGATATATTATACTAAAAATTTTAATGAAAAGAAGCAGGAAATTAATGAAAATTTTTAAAAATTCAGTTTTAGTCTTTTATTATTCTTATATTTCACTTTTTTTTTCAAATAAATTCCATAGGTTCATAAAAAAGCAACTCAGAAGTAACTTCACTAAAAGGATTAATTGATGTCAAGAGACGGCTAAAAAAGAGAAGTTTTTAAATAAACCCAAGTCAATCCAAATAAGTAACAACTTTCTTTGAAACTAGTGACTCTCATATACACACCAAGAATCAAGTGAAACATACCTTAGAAAAGCGTTGTATATAGCAACATTTATATATTTATACTTTTTCCTCTGTGCTCAAAACTCCACCTTCTGAAGCTTTGACATTGCCACGATCTCATAACCATATTATGGTTTACAAAACCATGCCCTCAGTTTATTGTTCAATGACAATACCTGTACAATAGTGGTGACTAACTACTGGAAATTAACACCATAAATATACTTAGCCCTACCACATACAATAACCAGACTCAATTTATGTAAATATAATATAAATGACTAAAATAAAATGACTATAATAAGTTAACATATTTCTATTGGTTGTTAGACCCCGGTATTGAAGTATTGGATCACTCTCCAACAAGACATTGTTTTGTCTTCGAAAACATCTTGAAGATATAGAGACGATTGATTTTGAAGACTGACCGATCCAAATGTATAGTAGTCTTCGTACTATAATATTCAATACTCTACAAGACAATTTGAAAATATGTAGCAACAAGAATGATGATATTGGTAGCGGAACTCCAGTCAAAAGATCTGGACACCAAATTAAGATTGATCAAATGACATTTTTCTCATATATTCATGAACTATAAGATTAGAGACTTTTAGCATATAAGAGATTTTTAAGAATTCTATGAATGAGAGCAAGTAAGATTCTAACTCAAATGACAATGTACATAATAAAAATTAATGTATATTTAAACCTGCAAAACTTATGTGGTCTTCAAATATAAATTCTTACAAATTTAATCAATTGTTTTATTTGTATGACGTCCAGACTTCCGGCACCCTCATAGACCCATATCCACCTCGGTGGTTATAAATTCATGCTTTCAGTACATCGTCATTCACAATGTCCAGGCAACAGTGATATTTGGTTACTGGAATTATTTATTTACAATAGATAAAACTTAGATAAATGAAGGATGGCAAAGAACAACACAATCGCAGGGTTCACTGATGGCTCGCTTACGAAGGAAGGGGCCGAAGCGACCATAGTCGAAACAGGCAAGAAACATTGAAAAGCGCTGGGAAAAAATACTAGCACCTTCCAAGCGGAAAACATATCACAATACTGACAAACAGCCAAGCGGCGATCAAGGCACTAAACTCACATCAGGTGATGTGAGACTGCCTTGATAAGCTATATCTGCTTGACGAATCAAATCAGGTGTCGATTCTTTGTATACCGAGACATACTTGCGTAAGCGGAAACGAGTACGTGGACAAACTAGCCAGGAAAGGAGCAGCCACACCGATGGTGGGGTCGGAACCTTTTTGTGGACTAGAACATGGTACGCTCCTTTCTCTTATAAAAATAAAAGAGAACCAGAATAAAAAGCATTACTGGGATTAAAACAATCCAAATCACTTATTGGTATCTATAACAACAATAGATACCACGATTGTATGAACCTATCAAAAAAAGACTTAGAATCATCGCTGAAATTCTAACAGAGCACTGTTAACTAAAATACCACCTTACGAGACTGGGTATACGTACGGATCCAAACCTCATCCTAGGTGTCGGCCACACATGTGCTGTTAGAATGCCCTACGATAATGCACATACAGAATAGGCTCCTGGGAATGTATATTCTTACGAAAGAGGCAATTAAAGTCTGTAAATTAGATTCTATACTACTTTTTATTGAACCAATAGGGCTTAGAGATCTATCTTAAACCTATATTAGATCCGATGGTCGCAGTGCCATAACCCCTAACAATAATAATGAGAGATTTTTGAGACTAGATGAAGAAGTACTATTAAACAAAACAATTTTGATTCACTAACAGTTTGATCAATGTAGATAAACAGAATTTTTTTACTTTCATCACTTTCATTCATTGCAATATAAAGTATTCCAATGCAACAAAAATATTATGAATTTAAAATGCAGTTCAAAAAACTCGCTGCGACTGCGACATACTCGTTCGTTACAGCATCGATGGGTTCAACTAACAACAAATTTATATAAAATTTTAAACGCGTTAAATTATAATAATAAACAAAATTATAATAAAAGCAACCTCAACAACCAAACAACCGCACAACCGCAAACGCCCTGTAGTAAACACTAAAAATGCTGAAAAGTTGAACGATGGCGATGTACCGAACACAGATAAAGTTAGGTTAAGTCGGTGTCTATGGGGATAGGGAGGGGATAGGTGAGATGTAAATGGATAAACTGTTTCTGTATATAAATAATACAACGTGTGCAATAATAAAATATTTAAAAGCTTTTGAAGTCAAATTGAACATTTTTAAAATAAAACAAAATTGAAACAGTAACTGAAAAAAAATTCAGTTTTTTCGTATGCTTCACAACACTGCAAAACATACAAAAGATAAAACATTAAAAATATAAATACAATAAAACATAAAAGTAATAAAACAATAACAATAACAATAACAATTCAAATATTGCTAACATAAAATCTATAAATACGAGTATAGGCGACAATGGCGGTATGACAGAAGTGATTTTGGGGCAAAAAAAAAAACGAAAAAAAAAAACAAACATGATGAACATGCAAAAAATAATGAAAAGAACGCAAATGCAAGGTGATTGGCACAGCAAAGTGTAAACATAAAATTAAAAAAGGAAGCGAACAAAACATAGAGCCAACAAAACGAAGCACAACAAAAATGAGACAAATAACAATGACAAAAAAATGTGAATACCAGAACAAAAAACAATTTTTTTTTCCATTTTTTCCATTCGCTATATTTTTCATTTAAGTAGATAAACAATATTCTTGAAAAAATAATAACAAAGAGAATGACTTTTATAGACCAAATATACACAAAATGGGTGGAAAATAAAAGATAAGTAATTTAAAAAAAATTTTCCAAAAAAAAAAAAAAATCAAAAATAAAAAAAATCAGCAAAAAAAAAAATTTAACAATCATAATAAATTCGTAAATGATTGAAGTTTAAAAGAAATTCCTTACCGAATTAAAATTAAAATGAAAGAATTAAACAACTAAAAATATATTTAAAAGTAAAGAGCATAAAACTTAAGGATAAACTAACACACACACCTGAATGCGTGTGAAAAAGTAAACAAGTGTGAAATGAGTTTATAAAACGACGAACAACAGCATAAGAGCAAAAGGCAATATAACAATAACGATTAAACCAAAAACAGCAGCAAAAACAAAGACGACAAATAACAATAATACAATAAGACAGGTAAGGAGACCACCATAAAGAGCCGAAAAAATATATGAAAATCCACCAACAACAATAGCAATAAAGTTGCAAATACAACACTTAAAATTTGCAAAACAGTAAAAATATTCTGTATTTACTATGCAACAGCGATGACGACTGCGGCAGCAAGAGCAACAGCGGTATATGCTAAAAGCCGATATAAAAACACTACCAAAAGGGTATGCTTAAGCATAAACAATGCTGCGCTATGCTGGTTCAGACAAGACGAGAAATACGTTTTACGTAGTGATTACCACACTGCGGCATACAAAAATCAGAAAATAGCATAAACGCACAAACCTATAAACGCACAAACGTATAAACGCACAAACGTATAAACGCACATACGTATAAACGCATAAACGCATACACGCACATACGCAAGATTGCATTACGCATACAACACACATTGTTAAGCTTAGTAAGATTGCTATTAGTTCCCCTTAAACCAACACCGGCATTTTGCACAACACAAACAGTAGAGAACAACTTTAATATTGCTGCTGCATGCGTATTATTATTAATTTTTTTCTATTTTTTTTTTGTTATTTTTTGTAAACTTTTTGCATACCAAAAGTAAACAAAGCAGTACACAATTATTTGTTATATAGTATTGTCTCATTCACACCAGCCAGAGCACAGTACTAATCATAAACCACGCCTTTTCGAAGTTATGCTTCCCCGCTGGCAACAATCTGAAGTAATGTCATTTCATTTTTACGTATGCATTTTTCTTATATTCGAATATACATTTTCGAATATTTCCCCTTAATTGTTACCCCAAAATATACATACAAAAAAAAAAATAAATCCTTCTCTCTCACTTACCTCAACAAATCCGGTAGGCGTTCCACAACTTTAGGGTGGCAACTCTTCTTGATATAGGTTGATGATAAAACAACGGTACAAACCAATGTTAACTCAGTGGCTATATCCACAGGAAGTGGCGGTACCCTACTATCGGAAGTCTGCAAAAAATAAACACATAAAATCAACATTATAACAAATAATAATCAACGAAATCTTAAAGCGCAAAGAAAACGGATTATCAACTTCGCCGTTATCGTGATTGTTGCTTTTGATAAAGGCAGAAATCGAATAGTAAGAACAACTTTTATCGAATAGAAGTAAGAATTACAAGCGTATATATATATACATATAAAATAGCTTTAATAAAAAATAAACATATATACATATTATTATAATAAAACCAAATAAAACCAAAGCCAGGATGGCTTTACACTAGAAACAGTATAATTATTTATTTGCTGATTATTATTGTAATTATTGTAATAATTGCAGTGAGCATTCCTAACCACTAAAAGCGTGCTATGAACACCGATGACAACACTGATTAATAAAAACAAAAACAAAAACAAAAAACAAAAACAGAAAAAAACACAACAGCAAAAAAGTTTGCACCACGTTTACATTGCTCTAATTGTTGGTGACGTTTTAATATGTAAAGTGTGGTAAGTTGTGTGTGTTCTGTGTGGTAGGAAAGCGGCTGAGCGGCTCAGCGGCTGATACAAAAAGTATTTCAACAGGTTTGTTTGCAATTTTGACAATCAAATTAGATTTCGAGCTTTCGACTTGAAAAATTCAAATTAAATTTTAAAATTAACTACAACGTACTTCCCATCTTTCCACCATATTGCTGCGCAAGTTTAATAATTCAAGTTTACGGACGACGAAGAAGTCGTGCGTGTACGTGTACAGAATGTACTTGCAGTAGCAACTGTTGCGCTCTCCAAGTTATGATAGCATATACATGATGTGTTTGTGTATATAAGTGCACATTCACATACATATGTATATATTAACAGATTAGTGACTTATGCGATATATAGGTATTATTGGTTTTTTTTTCTTTTGTTGCAATTTTTCTCATATAGTTGTTACTTTCGGTAATTTGCTTTAAAATATTTAGAAACCGTTTACAGGATTTTCACATATCCTGAATTTTTCGTCTAAAGGTTTTGGTAGAAAGAAAGAAGTTGCAACCCAAAGTTCGATTTTAAAAATATTAGCATATTATAAACGGAAATTATCGGACAACCTTTAAACGTTTTGAAGTTGAATCAAAATTCCCACTGACTTATTTTTTTTTCTTTAATATTATACAACTACAATGATCTCATCATATGGTGTTCCATAATTCCCAGAAACTATGTTGACAGAAGCTGTGTTAAAAGGAACTGTACTACGCTCGAGCATAATAAGAACAGGAATACTTGTAGTTGATACTATATCAATATTTATGCCAGCTAATCTCATCATCTGGTATGCAATAGTTCCAGAAGCTCTACTAACAGAAACTGTACTTCTCCCGGACACTATAAGAATAAGATAGAAACTGTAATACTCTTCCGCATTATATAAATACAAATACTTGTAGTTGACATTAGATTAATATTTATGCTAGCTAACCTCATCATCTGGTATGCAATAGTTCCAGAAGCTCTACTAACAGAAACTGTACTTCTCCCGGACACTATAAGAATAAGATAGAAACTGTAATACTCTTCCGCATTATATAAATACAAATACTTGTAGTTGACATTAGATTAATATTTATGCTAGCTAACCTCATCATCTGGTATGCAATAGTTCCAGAAGCTCTACTAACAGAAACTGTACTTCTCCCGGACACTATAAGAATAAGATAGAAACTGTAATACTCTTCCGCATTATATAAATACAAATACTTGTAGTTGACATTAGATTAATATTTATGCTAGCTAACCTCATCATCTGGTATGCAATAGTTCCAGAAGCTCTACTAACAGAAACTGTACTTCTCCCGGACACTATAAGAATAAGATAGAAACTGTAATACTCTTCCGCATTATATAAATACAAATACTTGTAGTCGACATTAGATTAATATTTATGCTAGCTAATCTCATCATCTAAATGGGACATGTAAGAAATAGCTTGATGACTACAGTATCACTCGATGCTGATATATGCATATGCATATGTCGTGACTTACCATCAATGCAAGTGATAATATTATGTGCTATGTAGAAAAATCCATCTCTATATAATTATACTATAAGCAGGGCTTTAAGGAAGGGGAGCACATGTGACGGTTTTGATTGGTTCCATATATTGTAACCAACAACAAGTCTGTCTATGAAATAAATTAAGATTAGGTTAGGTTGGAGTGACAGTCTAGTGCCCAAAACCCACTTAAGCTTAAATAATGGTCCGTTATAGTACCGCAGCATAAGCATTTATACCTATGCAGACTAGAGGTCAGCGTACGTGCAACACAGAAGGCACGATTCTTCCATAAGCCAAAGATTAACCAACCTGACAGTTCAATAAATTTAGAAAAATTCTTAGTTTTACTAGATAGAAAAGGGTCCCTGAAGATTTCAGATCTTCTGCTAGCCAAAGATGAACACTGACACATAAGGTGGAGCACTATTTCTTCCACTGTTATTATAGAGTACATCCAGTTTCATAGCATGTCTTCATATCACGCAATGACCAGTCAGTACCGATATCGTACTGCTGAGCAAGTTACGCCTTAGTTGCAATAACTGACTGGTGTGTTTTTTATTTAATTTACACCAGCAGGATTGGTCTACTGTTACTCGGTAATACTCAGAAATTTTATGTTTAACTGTTGCAAGTGGGACGCAAATATATGAAAAGTAAATGTCAGGGAGCAGAATGCCTGTGTAGATATATTCGCCCGCCCTACAGTTGCCCGAGATTTTCCTGTGTCCAGGAATCAATATTATGTTTGTTGCTATTCATATTAGGGTGACGAAGCTTCAGTATGTTGAGCTCAATTAGTTAGTGGACGTTTAGACATCAAATTAAGATTGTTAGAATGTAACGACCTTCAAATTAAAATAGTAAATAGAGGAATGGCAGTGGTGCATATTGATTTTCATGACTCCTGTTATATTCAGACATACAAATATATGCAGTTTATTATAGATTTTTTCCTAATCGCAGAAAACAGGGTTCGGTTTAGTATACATATGGATACAAATTGGAGAAATTTCGTGAACAGTCACAAGATTTCCATATTACAATAAAGGTTACAAAATAAATGCGATTCAGGTTCAGGTGTCAACTAATTGATTTCTGTGTTTCTGTTAATACGATTAAACACACGACTAAAAATAAAGTAACTTTTTAAAAAATTTACTTTTCGATAAGGACATTCAGATACTAATGAGAATAGTTTAAGTTACCCATATTACCTATTTAAAAATTACAATTCATTTTATTTGAATTACTTGAAGCCAAAATAAAAAGTGGTAATAAAATTTAACAAACAAGTCCATTTTCACACTTGAACATATTTTAGGCAATTATAACCAAAATTTGGCTTTCCTGACAATTGGTTCATGTTCTGTTTTGTCAGATTTAACAATTGTCTTAGGTATCCCGCTTTTAGCCATTTATCATTTTTGTAAACCAGTACAGTTGTTGGATAGGTGGGTTTACCTATTAAGGTGGAAGTTGATGTGGCAACTGTTTTGTTCATTAATTTTTATGCGCCATATACCAAACCATTTTTCCAACATATGTAAATGGTTTCACGTTGACAAGAAGCTACTAAAACGCTTTTAGGATAGCTCGAAATTGTTGTGTCATCGGCTAACGAAGTGTTTCTGCATATACAGCAGAAATAAAGAAATACTTTATTAGCCTTTCATAAGGATAATAGTTTCCATACATTAATATAAAGGAAAAACTGTAGACCATGTGGGTTGTCTTTATATTTCGATACTAGAACAGATGTGACTTTATTTTTACGTGGCCTGTTGTAGTAGGACAAATTTATTGTAATTTCTTTTTAGGGAAAGTTTGCCAAAGTATCATCAATATATATCTTGAATAGCTTTTTATAATTAATATAAATAAACGTATTATTTTACGTTAGATATGTCATCTAAAATTCCAACTTCAGACATGCGACACTCAAAAAAGTTCTCCTCAAGCATAATCAGCTCAAACACTTGGTTGAATTTATTTTCTATAAACATCTGATTCGAACTCTTTCTTCGTAGGTCTATTTTATATGGTCTGCAATTAGCTTGACTCAAATTAGCTTGGCTCAATAAATTCTATTTATTTTAGTGCAAAATTAAAGTTCCTCAGGATTGTATTAGTTGTAAACAATAATCTAACGACAGTCACTTGAATAATTCCCCAATTTATTTTACGCTAAAATTACTCTCATCAACGAGTATTTACTTTAACTCACTTGACAGCACCTTAACCGACTCCTCCTAAACTTCATCTCAATATACCATATAATTTCTCTTGCTTTGAACTTAACTGTGGAATATCAGCTTCTATAAGTTTTAATAATTCTTACTTCGACGAGATACAATCCGTTTCTTCGATCAACCCGCTCTACAAATGTGGTTTTCATAGTTCTTGTCATAAGCTCTATACCTAATAATAACCCTTCGATCTTACTCATTTTATCAATTTAACCTTCTTCCTTCACCACTATCCTAGCGCTTTTACTTAGAGAAATTCCTAAATATTACTATCTATTACCTAACATATTGTCTTGTACTTTAATCATTGATTACTGAAATAGAGTTTTCCGCACTCTATTCATCATGGTCTAATCGCTGGAGTCTACATTGTTTATTAAAGGCTCATATAGTTACTAATAATGCTTTCCACTTACCGGAAAAAAATTAATGAGAGCACTTTTATATTTTTGGTTCTTTGGAGTATTAGAACTGTTGACTTAAGGTATTAGAATTATTATTAAATTAAAAATGATCACAAAATAAGAACTACAGGTTGTGCATGCAAAGGTTTAGACCATTTTTATGAAGCAAGTAAAAGTGAATTCAATGAAATTGTGATTGGAAGAGATTAGATCTAGTTCAAAAGTTTCATTTGATATGATAGGTTACAACTCAATTACAGATATGAGACCTCCAAAGAGTGTGTTCGACATTAAAACTTCGATTTT